CCCCAAAACCCCAAAACCCCAAAACCCCTTTCTCTTAAGGAAGTGTTGAACCAGACTAGTAGAAATATTGCCTCATTACCTTCTTATCAGTTGCTATCTTAGGCTTGGACTTGCTCTTTTCTTTCTGCCAAACCTGGAGACCCTGGAGTTACAAAGGAAAAGTACCTTCAACAAGTAGTTGTTCTTAAGACTGGTCCTCAAGCTACTCTTATGAGCCTTGAGACTTTTGGAAATTTGAGGAATTTTAGGCAAACTCTCTATAAATAACACTCTGGTAGTTTACTCTTATGCTTCTGCTTATTCTTGAGTAACCCGACTAGGTTGTTGTTCCGAATAGCTCTCTTCAGCTGCTGTGCATATGAATGAGGGATTTTACCTTAGCATGGCGGTACTGGGCAAAGGTCTGCTCCTCCACATTCTCTTCAGAGCTCTCTCTGATGTTCATGGATCTATGTAAATTCTAAATCCGTTATGGCAAGTTTGGGTACATTTGGCTTCATAGGTATTTGATAAGGATGTTTGCCTAAAGATAGTCTCAAAAGTGCACTACCTGCTAGATTTGTGTACATTTTTGAACCAGTAGAGGTCTTTTTGAAGCCGGTTTTGGTCCTATTTGACTGATGACGAATGGAGTTTATCCTTTCATCTTTCATAGTGCCTAGAGTATAAATTAGCATAACTCAGAGTATTACTTTGAGGGAGATTGGAGCGAACAAAAAGATTCCCAAAGTCAGAGTTAAGCTTTTGAGCGGTCTTTGATTTTACAGATGCTAAATTTTCCTCAGAGGCTAAGCCAAAAAACTCTCTTACAATACAATGATTTCATTGGTTCGATAAGGTCTTTATTCTCATCCCTAGAATGATTTTTCTGAACGGTTTTAAGGTTGATTCTCATTTTCTTCTTTTTCTGCCTACAGAAATCTAGTGGCTAGGAATACCTCAAACACCGCATGTCCATAAACTTGTTGAAGCTCTGGACTGGGGAATCCTACATTATTACTAGATTACCGAACCTGGTCATTGTAATCCATAGTGATGGGTTCAGAGTATCTATTTTGGTCGAAAACAGTCCGGTGTATTGGCCCAGAATGGCTTGTCTGCAAGGTAAATGTACTAGATTACCATATTATTCTTGCTACGAGCTAGAAACATTTATAAGATACCAAAAGTCTTACCTTGGGTCCTGAGGTTTCTGAGATAACTCTCTATTTTGCCCCTCCTCTGCTGGTATGAAGACTGGTAAGCTTTCTGGTCTGGACTTTCAAGGCTATTGGTTAGCTACAAAATTACAAAAATAGGTTAAAATGCATAGTTTTCCCTATAGATTACAATCTGGGGTTACTCTCTTGAATGCTGGTGTTAGACATCTTTCACTGAATAAATTTAGTTAATAAATTTATTTGATTTTTTACAGCTTAAAATTTTGAAGTGGGGTTTTGGGGTTTTGGGGTTTTGGGGTTTTGGGG